TTTTTTTTTTTTTTTTTTTTTTTGGGTACAGCACTTGATCTTTTTTTGTTGTACTAGGCAAGTGGTTCAAGCCTACGATGAAAGGGAGAAGAGGGAGAGCAAAGGTTCCAACTCTTGTCATTGAGATTGGTGCACTTGATCTTAAAATACCAAAATATGCACTTAATTCTCAGTGGTTTGTACAAGGTGCACAAAAATCTCCCAGTCAATTAAATATTGAATTATTTAAATAAAATAAATATTGAATGTGAAATGTTAAAATAAAGTAGTGATATAAGGATAATTTTTTTATATAATTTTTTATACAATTTTTATATATTATTAAGCGAGTGAATATACTTAATATCATGTGTCCTAAATAAATATAAAGACTTAATAATTTAAATAATACATAAAGTTGTACCAAAAGATGGTACAAAAAAGATGTTTTTGAATCATTTTTCATTAAAATATCATTAAATTCAACAAGAGAGAAGAAAAAAAGGGAAAACAATTAGGACATTTTCTTATTTTTTCACTTTCACATTTAGTATTTAATCACTTATTGTTAAGTACAAAATTTTCACACCACACTAGAGGTTAAGTACACTTCTTTATAATTTGAGAATTAAATCGCATACTCAAAGCATATTAATTAGGAGTCTAACAGTTTGTTTGATATGCAAATGAATTAAAATTTATTTCATTTTCAAATAAATTCATAAGAATAATTAAAAATTCATTTCATGTTTTAAAATTTTGAGTGATGAATGATTTCATTTAGAAATTCATTTGTAATTTAATTGTTATGTTTGCAATCATTTACGAAATTATAGAATTCAATTGAAGTTCACAAAATTTTATATTTGGAATAAATACAAAATTGAGTTAAATATAACATTTTTCCTAAGATACCCTCACTAGAGGGTGAGAGAGTTGTAATTATAGAGACATTTTAGTAAATTAAATGTAATGTACAAAAAAAAAAAAGCATTCTTGGTTCATTTAAAAGTGTGAATTCTTTTTTTTTTTTTTTAAACCAAAGATATATTAGTAGGAGAAAAGTAAAAATAAGACATTCTAGCACTTTAAATGACAAAAGACTTCCTATAAAATTGTTCAAAAATCCTTAATAAATCTTTTTTTATGTGTTCATTCATTAAGAGTATCTTAATCTTTTTATTATTGTTTTTGGCATTTTAAGTGTTAGGAAATTTTGATTTTCCTCAATCCCTATTAGTAATATAAAAATTACAATATATCCATGACTTGCCATATAGGCGATATCTAAAAGGAAAGGAGGATACCCTATAGCATAAGTTATAATCATGTCCTCACTAATCTAATTAATGCATCTAAAAGGTTAACAATTAAATGTTTATATGAATGTCGTAACTAAACCTGTGTTGAAGATATGACAATTAAGCATATTTTCAACATAATCGACTTAATTAGACATAAGACAATTGAATGTAACTATAGAGGTAACAACAAGACTACAAGGTGTAGAAAGATTATTTTTTGAGTTTCTTTAGTCATTGGCTAGTGTCACTTCTTGTAAGTTCATTTTCAAATTTCATTAAAATGGATATAATTTGAATTAGACTAAACTAATTTCATGATTTAAAAGTTTAGAATTGAATTCAATACTTTTTAATCAAAGCAAACACAAGTGTGCGGAATTGCAAACGAATTCCATAAATTTTTAATCAAACCAAATATAAGAGGGATGAATTGAAATTATGAAATTAAAATTTAAAATTTTTAATCAAACTAAACATAATAGTATAGATTTGGATTTCATTTAAACCAAACACTATTAAAACAAAATTCAAAAAAAAAAAAAAAGGGCAAAAAAACAAAAAAAAGGGGAAATATATACTTACCTGGATACGGAAGTGTTAGTGATCATGTCATAACGCACGGCTCGGAGTACTTTTGATTTTGATTCAATCTGGTAAATAGAGTTGTTCAAAAACCGAAGTTCCAATCCAGAAATGATTGGAATACCAAAATCAGTATTCAGCAAGCAGACATTTATTGTATCGGTCCACAAAAATTGGATGATTTCATTGTAATAAAATGTTGTGTCGTCGCTGAAGTTGACGGTCAGCCAATAATTCACTCCTAGGTATACATCAAACGCAGGAGGTTTATTCTGGCCATCATAATTTCCATAAAAGAAGAAGCCTCTGATCATGTAATTGTAGCCTTTGCCCATTTCAGGCTTAAGGTTGTAACAGTTCTTCTTTCCATTTGGAAAACTTCTCAAGGTGTTAAGCATCTTCCCGAGTTGAGGATGTGTGGGTATGTATCGCGGGAGTACCTGTTTATTCTCTCCAGCTGTAACGAAATTCGAATCTGACTTGTAATGTATTCCACTTTGTTCATCAGGATAATCTTCACTCACCCCACAATCAATGCTTATTGAACCTTCACTCCATACAAATTAAGATTATGTTAATTATAATTAAACATCATTTTGGAACTCCAATTAAAAGAATAAAAATTAAACTAATTAACCAAGTTATACTATTTAAAATTATTATCCACTATCAGCTATAAATTGATATATACAAGTTTTAATTCATTTACCTGGTCTGTCAGTAGTACTAGCGAGCTTTCTTGGTTCGATATGTTTATCATGTCCCGCGCACAATCCAGCCATGAGGATTGCTAGAATGAAGACCGCCCATGGTTTAAAGACCTGTGTTTTCCCAGCTTCCATTTACTCACAAATTGGTTCTCGGAAATGGATATAAAATTGCTAGCTATGGATTATATAGGAGCTAGCGAACAAGGATTTATATCTTTGGAGCTGGAGCATAGAATACGGTGAATTAAAGACAATGGCTCTGTTTTGTTATATGGACTGTTGATTAGGAACGGTTGATAGTTATTAGTTGATAGATAATAGAATAATTGATATCTATTAGTAGTTAATTAATAGTTTGAAATCAAACTATATGTTGATATTATTATACTTTTTTACCAGTTGTATAAAGAAAAAAATATATATAAACTGAAAAAATCAACCAAACCAAATATAATTAATATTTCTTAAGTTGTGTTGACTGCTACCAAACCACAAATATGGGCTTATAATTAAGTCATTAGTTTGTCCATATTATTCCTTTTTTTTTTTTTTTTTTTATTCCTTTTTTTTTTTTCTTTAGCATTGTCCCCACACTTATGCAGGGCAATGATACATGCATTGTGCAATGCATTTTGAAAGGTTAAAGTATTAACTATTCCACATCATGAAATTAATTCCCATTGATTCCCCAGACCTCTGCTTTCTTTCCTGGCTGTAGTTGATCGAGTCAAGCTCAAGACTCAAAGTAGTTATTTAAGAAAAGTTGCTTCCAAACACGGTTTTATGTGGAAAAAAAAAATAGTTGTTGACCTTAGCCCAAAAAAGCAGTTGTTGACTCAAGTCAATATAACGACTTGAGTTTTGACGAGTAAAATTCCAGCAATAACCTTTGAAGCCTGCCCTATTAAGTGCAGAGTTAAAGTCTAGTCAATTACTACTTTCAACTTTGAACTAATTTTTAAATTAAAGCGTTTAAATTTAATTATCTATTTTTTCTTTATAAAATTAGTTGTTGACATTAGCCCAAAAAATCAGTTGTTGACTCAAGTCAATATAACGACTTGAGTTTTGAAGAGTAAAATTCCAGCAATAGCCTTTAAAGCCCGCCCCATTAACTGCAGAGTTAAAGTCTAGTCAATTACTATTTTTAACTTTAATAGAACTAATTTTTAAATTGGTGTTTAAATTTAATTGTTTATTTTTTTTATAAAATATTATTTAATGCATTTATTTTATTTTAACCTTATTTAAAAAGTTAATAAATAAAAATATTAAAGATGAAGACTTATTTAAGTAATTCTTAGTTATAGATAAATATGAAAATTTATCAACAAGAACTCAATCTGCATTTTGCGCAATTCATTCATATTTTAAAAAATTTTTATAATAAAAATAAAAAACTATAAATATATCTTAAATTATTTGTCAATAATCTCTATCTATTCTCTCTTTGTATTAATAACCGAAAATGATATAGTTATAACCTTATGACATTGTAACTATATAATAAGATATATTATTATATAATTAGTTATTTTCATTGAAGAGCTATTCATGATATTGTATGCATCAATCTATTTAATAATATCATATACTCATTTAATGATATATCATTATAAGTTTATAATTTTATATAACACTGTAACCAGCCAATTCATAAATTATTAGATGTTATTCTCTCTTCCTAATCATGTCTCCTTACCTTCTACCTTATTTATTCACATATATACTATACTTTTCTTAATTTCTTACATTAATTAAGATCATATTCTCTGTTCATATTTTTCAATGAAGGACTTTCAATTCTCTAGTTTTTTTCAACAACTAGTATTATTCTCTATACCTTTCTATCATTAACTACGAAATTCCAACAGAGCCTCTTAGAATGGCTACACAACTATTGAATCACTGGGATTCATTGAATTATTGGTTCACAATATCAAGTAGTTTCTCTACAAGGGTTCGATTGTCTACTTTCACTTTGCTAAGATTATAAATACCACAAAGATCAATGACGAGAAATTAGCATTACATTGAATGGTGTGACATTAGCCTCGATTATTCTTGAATACTTAAAACCACTAAGCATAGGGCCCCAAAACTTTTCGATCAAAGGATTTGTCAAATTTTCAATTCAGGCAACAATAGAATCTAATCTTCCACCCCTTCGCAATGCCTTCAAGATTAATGTGGATGTTAATTTCCGGCTAAATTTAATTTTTCATCTACTAACTGTTACTCTCTTTTCATTTTAGTTTAGAAAGTTTAGTTTATTTCAAAATCATCTATAAACTTTGAAAATCATTTCAAATTCATCTACTTAAAAAACTGTTGTTAGTTTTTTTAACGGAATCTCATGGCATGCTTACGTGTCACCAATTATATGGCACTTGTAGTTCTAAAAAATTACACTTTAACCCCAAAAACTTCACAAAATTTTCAATTAAGTTTTATATTCAAATCATTCTACTTTCCCAGCAAGATTTTTTCTTCTTTTTTTTTTTTAAATTTTTTTAATAAATTTAAATGTTTGAATTTTGATTAACAACTAAAAAATTCATCATTGTCATTATTAGGATAAAATTATATCATTCCTTTTTTTATTTAGTTCAAAAAATTAATTTTATTTGTATTATCTCTTTCTCAAAATAACTTTTGTTTTTGTTTTTTTTCAAATTAAGAATTTGAGGATAATTTATGTTTACTTATATTACCCTTAAAAAGAAATCAAAGTTGAAGACAAACATTTTGTGATGGGATGATTAATTAAAGTAAATAGATAATAATAAGATTAAAGTAGCTTAAAGTAGCTTAATTAACATTTTTGTATTGTCATAATTGCAGGATTGGAATATCTACATAATGGTTGCAGGCCACCAATAGTCCATAGAGATCTGAAAACCTCCAACATCTTATTGACTGAAAACATGCAAGCCAAGATAGCTGACTTTGGATTATCTAGAGCTTTTTCAACAGAATTTGCCTCCCATGTATCAACTCGCTTTTGTAGGAACATCTGGATACCTAGACCCTGAGTGAGTCTTAAATCTAAAACATGATTAGTAACACTTTTTCAACATCTTATCGATATAGTTGTTTTTATGTTTTCCTTACAGATTTCACTCATCAGGAGTCATTAACAAGAAAAGTGATGTCTACAGCTTTGGAATAGTTCTCTTAGAGCTGGTTTGCGGTCAGCCTGTCATAACAAGAGGTGAAGAGCGCATTCACATAATTGAGTGGATTAATCCTTTGATTGAAAGAGGGGATATTCGGAGGATCATTGATCCAAGGTTACAAGGTGCATTCAACATCAATGTAGCCTGGAAAGCAGTGGAGATAGCAATGTCATGTGTGTTGCCAATTGGAATCAAGAGGCCAGACATGAGTTGTGTACTATTAGAACTTAAGGAGTGTTTGGATTTAGAAATGGGTTCCAGAGAAACTTAGACAACGAAGAGCCATATATTGAGTAATTCCCTTGAAATTGCTCATCCTTTTGCTAGGTAATTCAATAGACAATGTTTCATGGATTTCTGGATATCAATCCCTCTTGTTGTTTAGGGCTATAAACTTCTATTAGTTTTGAGATAAAGTCTATTAAGTTACTTCTTAGCTATGTCTTCTATGTAATTTTGTAAACCATGTTAGTGGTGTTGTAGTTTGTATTGTAGTTTCTTAACTTCTTTTTATTTTAGTGATTGCCTTGGAAAGGAAGAAAAGGTTGTAGCTTTTGCTTTTTCTTAGAAACTGGATGGATGTTCAACGCTGGTTTGCTAAGTAATATCATAACTCAGTTCATGTACTTCATTTTTCAAGCTTAACTCTTGAGTTTATGTTCATTTTCACTTAAGTTTTCATCTTTACATCATCAACTACAAATAAAAACCCTTTGCGTAATTAATTTAGTGAGAATTGTGTATGCAATCAACCCTATTAGCTTCTTTCATGTTTTTAACTAATTACAAGCTATATAACAAGAGACACCCCAAAGACCAACTATCTAATAAAGAATAACCCTTTCGTTTCTCGGTGACATCTTGCCTCATTGCAATGTTTATATTGAAACTATTGAGAAATCACAGCAACTGGAGTTGTCAAAGCATGAATCACGTGAGAAAAATAGCTCAGCAGATATGGAAACAATATCAGGAAATCAGGCTCAGCAATTATGGAAACAATCTCAAGAAGGCAGGGACAAATCATATTCAAAAGCAACGGTCAAATAATGTGCCGTTGAGCTTCCTCAATGTCAGGCATAATTATAGCCTCAATCAACTTTTCTGTAAATATAAATACATCTCTTGTACACCAATGAATATAGTGAATACAAGTTCAGTATTCTTTCAATCTTTCTTTGCTTTTCTTCATGGTATCAGAGCAGGTTGTTGTGTGCATCTGAATACCAAGTGTTGTGTCCTCTTGCATCTGAATTCACTCTCTTCTTGTTTTCAAATCTGACTCACAAGAAAATCAAACTCATGGCAAAGAACCAGAATTTGCTTACCATTCAAAGCTTCCACCAGATGGCAAGCCTTGTGTCGGTCAAGCTGTCAAGCACAAATTTTCTGCTATGGAAATCACAGATCTTTCCACTAATTCGTAGCGCTCAACTCATACATCATCTAGAAGAAGAGGCTCCAGTTGCAACGATCAGCAAAGGTGGAAAAGAAGAGCTCAATCCTGACTATGCAATTTGGCTAAATAATGATGGCTTACTTACTAGCTGGTTACTTGGAACCATGAATGAAGAAGCATTGAGCCTCGTTGTCGGCTGTGACTCAGCTTTTCAGATCTGGAAGTGCTTAAAGGAACATTATTTGGCATCAACAAAGGAGCAAGAATTGCATCTTAAAGGCCAATTAGTAGTCAAACGAGGAGGAGATGATGAATCTCTTGAAGATTTCATAAGAAAATTCAAGAGAACTTGTGACAGTTTAGCTGCTATACGTAAGCCTGTTGATGACTTAGACAAAGTGTTTCACCTCTCCAGAGTAGTAGGGGGACGGTACCAGCCTTACAATCTTGCTGTCTTATCTAAGCCCCCATATCCTACCTTTAATCAATATATTGCAGGGTTACAAAACAATGAAAGAGATTTGCAGGTTGCTGAACAGGAAAGAAAGGATAAAGTTCCAAACTATGTCCAAGCCTTCGTTGCACAAAGGGGTAGAGGTCAACGTGGTAGAAGCAATGGTAGCAGGTACTTCAACTCTAGAGGTAGAGGATTTGTTCAAGCTGGAAACTATCGACATAATGTGTCCAACCATAGGAATCCTATGATCAACAACAATCCTATACCACAACAAGCCATACCACAAAAATTTCAACCGAAAAATTCAACACAACAAGGTGAGAATCAGTGTCAAATCTGTGGTGTTGCAGGCCATACAGCCTTAAAATGCTGGTACAGATTTGACCATGCATATCAAAGTGAAGAATTACCTCAAGCTCTTGCAACGTTAAGCCTGTTGGAAGACAAGGATCAAAACACTTATGTTGATACTGGAGCTACTGACCACATGACCTCAGATACAGGTAAACTTTATACTAAAAGACCTTATCATGGTAAACAAAAAGTTTTCACAGGTGATGGAACTCCCTTGCAAATTTCGCATATTGGTTCTACCTCCATTGGTTCTTTAAAACTTAAAGATGTTCTAGTGGTTCCTAATCTCAAGAAAAATTTACTTTCTGTTAGTAAGTTTACTGATGATAATTCATGCATTTTTGAGTTCTCATCTAACGGTTTTGTGATTAAGGACCAAGCAACACAGGCGGTGCTAGCCAGAGGCACTAGGAAAGGGCAGCTGTATGCATTGGATGAAGAGGAAAAACATGTTCTTGCTGTTATTTCAAATAAGGCTACTGATTCTATTTGGCACCAAAGACTAGGACATCCAAATTCTAGTGTTTTAAAAACTCTAGCATCAAAGAACAGTATTATTGTATCGAATTGGACTAAGCCTTCCTATTTGTGCACTAGCTGTCAAATGGGGAAGAGTTGTAAGCTCCCTTTTTCAAAAAATAATGAAAGAACTGATTCACCCTTTGAAAAAATACATTGTGATTTATGGGGGCCTTCTCCAGTGCAATCTATTAATCATTTTGCCTATTATGTGATATTTGTAGATGACTATAGTAGGTTTACATGGTTTTATCCTTTGCATTGAAAATCTGACTTCCTTAGTGTTTTTCTAAAGTTTCAGAAGATGGTTGCAAATCAGTTTCATAAAAGCATCAAAATATTCCAATGTGATGGTGGAGGAGAATTCTCTAGTAGTGCTTTCATTAAACACTTAGAAGACTATGGCATCAAGCAACAAGTATCTTGTCCTGGTACTCCAGAACAGAATGGTGTTGCAGAAAGAAAGCATAGACACATCGTCGAGACAGGTTTAACCATGTTAATTCATGCTAATATTCCATTGCGTTATTGGACTGACAGTTTTTCTACTGTTATTTTTCTTATTAATAGGATGCCCACTCCTGTTCTAAACAATAAAACTCCATATTATCTACTGTATGGTAAGGTTCCTGATTATTCAATGATAAAAGTTTTTGGATGTCGATGTTTCCCATACCTTAGAAATTATTCTGCCCACAAACTCCAACCGAGGTCCCTACCTTGTGTTTTCCTTGGGTACAGCCAAATACATAAGGGATATAAATGCTTACATCCTCCAACTCAACGTATTTATATATCTCGGCATGTTGTTTTTGATGAATATTTTATGCCTTATATTGATCTTACAAAGCTTTCAAAGGATGTT